AATAGCACGTTCAGAGCCATTAGCTATACCAATAGTCTTTGCCACCTTGAAATGACTAGAAGAAGCAAAGCCAAAATTGGCATCTTCTACTGCCTCAATTGCTTCACACTCATATTGAGCAAGTACTTGCTTTCGACCTCGATTGTGGACTTTCTGACTGCGGCGCGCAGTTCCTTCTTTGATGATTCGATAGCCAGTTGTTTCAGATATATTATGTATCTTAAATAGCTCTGTGCGAGGTAGTTTGCCAGCTGTGTGGCGTGCATCGGCGAGGAGGCGCGTGCGGCGCGGCGTATCAAGCATCGTTTTTAGCGTTCGTGGGGCCGCAGGAGAAGGAGGATCTATCGAATAAGACTTTCGGCAGACGCGCCGTCTATTTCCCTGTTCAGAACTCATTATTCCCTAAATTTGAGTGAGTATTGGTAGAGAAATAGGGGAATGAAGTAGGGGGGAGAGGAAGGGGATCTGAGAACTCCCGTAAATTTTGGCGCCAAGCTTCGGGCCCTGCTAGGGCTCCGCCCATTGGGCCACGGATACTCGCGAGGATTTCTGACCAATCTCAATTACCGAATACTTAGTAATAGCGTTTTCACCAGGGCGGGGTACAGAATTCCGCCCGATACCGCAGTACTAACTACATTAGTAAATTAGTAATGTACTCTGCTCACCCTCGCTTTTATCTGAGAGAGGATAATCTTTTGTAGGTGAATCGATCTTACCACCGCAGGGTGGACATGCTTTTCATGAATGCTATGAAATCTGTCCTTTCGACTCGGTTGTGGTCCGGCTGCTTCTTGTTGCTGCCAGCCCTTTGTCAGGCCTCGTCGCGTCACTGCGATGCATGGGACTCGGCACCAACGGTGACACTGGCGTCCGGGGTTCTCGTCGGCACGACGACCTCACTCCCCTCCGCAACGGCTGTGGTGAATAAGTTCCTTGGGGTCCCCTTTGCGAACTCCCCTCCGGAACGGTTCTCCCCTCCGCAAGATCCCCGGCCTTGGTCACAGCCTTTGTCTGTCCTTGCTGTCAAGCCAGCATGCATTCAGCAGTGGCCCTGTAAGAGAACTTGAAAATTACTGAAACACCGAAATATCTAATCCTCGGAAGATGCCCAGGAAGTTCGGGACTTCGTTCAAAGGCTCTGGAACAATCCAGGGGGCCCGCCGCCTGCTGAAAGTGAGGACTGCTTATATCTCAACGTATTTGCTCCATCCACCGCGCCACCCCCCGGGGGACGAGCTATCTTGTTTTGGCTGTACGGCGGCTCGCTCCAGTGGGGGCAGGCGTCGAATCTGTGGTATGATGGGTCTGTCCTGGCAGCATACCAAGACGTCATTGTGGTTGCGCCTAATTATCGAACGAATGGTAGGTTACCTGAGACCATGCTGCCCATATTTGAGATTGATGCCTCCTTTCAGTGTTCGGATTCTCTAATTCGCCCCAACTACCCTTGGCTTCTCGTAACGCAGGCTTCCTTGACCAGCGGCAAGCTCTAGCCTGGGTCCAGGCCAATATCGTGCACTTCGGCGGCGACCCCAGCAAGGTGACCATCTTCGGGTGGTCAGCTGGTGGCAGCTCGGTCGATAACCTGGTCACCACCACACCGAAAGATCCACCCTTCCGAGCGGCCATCATGGAGAGTGGCCAATATACCTACGGGACCTACTTTCCCAAGGGTGTGGGCCTTGCGGCATGGCAATCTCTCACCGAAGCTCTTAACTGCTCCGCAGTGAGGGATGCTCTGGCATGCGTCCGAGCCGCTGACGCCATGAAGATCAAAGAAATCATTGAGGTCGCCTCCCTCTTCTTCATCCCCACTGTCGATAACGTCACCCAACTCGCCAACCCTTCCCAAGCCCGCTCTGAGAGGCGCATTGCCAATGTGCCGCTCATGCTCGGCACCACTGCGCAGGAAGCTCGCACGCCACTGGGCCTGAATAACCTCATGGCCTCCCTTGGAAACTCCTTTCCCGATGAACCACAGCTGCGCGCCGATATCGTCGCCGCGTACCCGATCGGCCAAGGAGGTCTGAATACAGAGTACGATATCATAACGCAGATCGACACCGAAATTAGGTCTCAATGTGTACATTAACCTCATCCCATATCTCCCTCTCCCTCTCCCGCACCCATCCTTCACCCTTCCGTCACATACATCGAACCTTGTCTCACTTGATTCCACATCTAGGTCTCTAGCCTTATCGCATCCCGCAACATCGAAGCCGGCTATCCAACCTGGCGCTACATCTTCAATGCTACCTTCCCCAACAACGAAGCCTTTCCTAACGGCGGTGCCTACCATGGCACTCAAGTCCCGCTCGTCTTCGGTACCTACCCATCCGTCAACGCCACCGCCCAGGAAGTCGCACTGAGCAGCTACATGCAAGCTGCGTGGGCGGGCTTCGCCAAGAATCCAGAAAGAGGCCCTGGGTGGAATCAGGTCGGCTCTTTCGATGGGGTGGATCTGGGGGTGCTGGGGCAGGGTGGCAGTGCTGGTGTAACGGTGATGAAATCGGCGGAGGTGGACTTCAGGTGTGGGCTTTATTGGGCGGCTTTGGAACGGAACGGGATATTTTATTGAATCTGAATATAAGAGGTATGCATATGCGTATACCTACCAGATGTCTTAGTGGCCCGACACCCACCTTTCCCTGGGGTTCCTGAAAGGAGTACATGCAAAAGCCTTTCTCATCAAGCTTATCACTGAACACTTCACTAAGCTCATAAGCTTGGCACTTCCACACGAAGGATCTAGATCAGCCAAGATAGGCCCTGCGGTATCGAACTGCGCTGCTGAGGCAATTCGTCGTAGAGTTTCACTCGATGCAGCATCATCGGATCCACGATGTGAGGTGCCAAAGAAGATGATTGCTAAATTTGATCTGTAGGGATACTTGAGGTGATCAAGATGTCTTTCGTCTCATGATCGTCGAAGAGCTTCCTTAACGATCAGCCCGCGGAGACTGTGGGCTACAAAGATGAGTGGCCGTCACTGACACCCGACCCGTTTGGACTCAAAGACCTCAGGAACGACCGGCCATGTTCAGAAATATTGGTCTGAGGGGCAGCACCACTGAAGAGTTTGGAGATGTGGGAATCTAGGTTGCGAAGGCCTTGGGTAATTGGAGGCGCTGGGATCCCTCGTCATTGCAGAAGTGGTCGACATATGGTCAGATGCACAATAGAGAGGCCTAGAGCGCTTCGTGATCGATGCGCTCACGATGTATGGAAGAAGCAAATACAGGAAGAAGTCTGGAAGAACAATTGTTAATAAACCAGAAGAGCTCACCCTCTACGCTTGTGATGATACTCAATGAAAAGACACACCTATCCAGAGATCTTCCCAGCCTTTCAAAGTAAGCGGTCCATACCGAGAGCTATGAAGCCTAGATATCGAGACGTATTATGCTGCGGAAGATTGAAGGCAATACAAGCTCGAACCACATTTTCGGACTGCAAGTATAACATAGCTGTGCTTCGAAGTTTTCATCAATTACTCACTAAAACCGATATTCCTAAGCGGGCATGGCAAATCTGGTGGCTTTTTCCCACGTCACCTCGCTTTCGCTTGGCTCTCGCTTCCTGCCACGGGTCAAGAGTGATTTATCAAACCTAATCCCGGTTATAAGTCGTAGTTGTATTTATGTAGTATTAAGATTATTGTAACGTCAACGGGAAAAACAAATTTGAGCTGTTTTGGTGTAGAAATGATGAAGTTTGAAGTCAAAATGGTTGAAAAGTTGTAATTGAGATTTTGATGTTCTTTGCCAAGCTTTGATAGTACTACCACCACACTAAATCACGGCAACGCTATTCTCAACAAAGAAGCGTGCTCATTAGTGACCCAGGGGATATTAAGTTATAACCAATCGTACAAGAACCTTATACAAAACTACCAGGTATGAAATCAGAAGTAGAAAAGGTGTTTGATTTCCTAGCATGAGTGCCTACAACAGTTATAACCAGTATGATCACGTGTCAGTGGCGGTGGCTAGACGGTCAAACATTGTCACGTGCACTGGCAAGCCCTGGCTCGAATATCACACAACATACGGTCACATACATGATACCCACTTAAATTTACCCACGGATTGATCAAACAGCCTTGATTCATAACTGTTCTATGAAACCTAATCGTTCTATGAACTATACATTAAGGGCTTCTAAAGCTTCATGCTTCTATCTAACTCATCTGCAACTCTCAAATTGAAAAGCCGGATCAAAATCTCTACCCATCATCATGTCTAATGAGACGCCATGGTACTACCCTCCCGGCTGGGACCGCGAACGTATGCTCGACGCCGACGACAAAGAGAGGGAAACACTGACCCCAGAGCAATTGGACACCTTCCGTCAAGGTCTGCGCGCCGAGCTGGGTGAGGAGGGCATGGAAGAATTCCAGATGGAATCCTTCAAACGCTGGAAGCAGCGCGAGAAGCGGAAGCAAGCAGCAGTAGCCGCTGCTGCTGTTGACGCCCCTCTTCCCGTTCGCGACCCTCCACCCTACTTGGAGACCATGAATCTCGCAACGCAAAGAAACGGGCGTGAGTGGCCACAGTGGGGGTTCGTGGTGTTTCGTACGACATCTTACGCAGATGAGGCACGCTGGCAGACGATGAGACGGCGGTGGGATCAGATGATTGATGAGCAATTTCAAGAAGACGATTTCGCCATACCGGGTGTACGGGAAGCAAAGCAAAAGTTACATTTTCACTGGATTGAGGACCCCGAGTTAGAAGACGCGTCGCCAGCTACCATCATAACGTAAGCTAACTCCTTAATGTTTTATGTCCTTCCTTCTTCTCCCTCTGCACTGCATCTAAGTCGCAGTAGTTTCCTGCGTCCCAGAAGACTAACATATCACTCTATTCCTCCTATAAAGCAAATATCAAGACATAAATTTGTCATCTGGCATGGTACATAATGTGTGCCTCTGTATCAATCAAGCGAGTATGGAATCAATACTGGATTCTCCTATGCCATCTGAGTCATCTCGCCGACAACGCAAGAAGATCCCATACGTCGTAGCCGTCACGCGGAGTGCAAATCAGCCAGCAGCGTCAGCAGCAGGAGACAAAAAGGAGGAGGATAATGATGCTCAAGTGGAGTACTTTCGTGGCTACTTCAACGTCGCCGTCGAGACCTTGCTCAACGATCTTTTCGCCGCCACGGCAGACGATATGATGGATCCAGATGTGCTGGGAAGTCACGTTAAAGAAAATGAGATTTGGTGCAATGCCTTCCGATATGGAATTCACAGAATAGATACAGGCCCCATTTACCGGGAGAGAGGTGGCTAATTTCTGTCAACTCGTTCCTTTCCGTGGAAAAGACAATAAAGCGCGAGGAAAGCCTCAAAACCGTATAGACTAGATTCTACCTCGGATTGCATTTACTGTTCGGGAAAATACATAGAATCTAACTACACCGGAACCATCGCTTACTATCCACACAGTAGGATCTCCGATATGCAGGAAAGAGTGCTCGAGGCATGTTCCAGAAGTGCCTCTCCTACTTCAGCATCGCTGTGGTATCTAAGCTGATATATGTTGCCTTGTTCTTCGCGAGATCTGCTAGGGCCGCTAGATTGTCTTTGATCTCTTGTGGAGTAAACACTACTTTGGCTATTGCATTTAAGTAGTCAGCTCTGCTGCTCATAGCGAGATTTGTGTGGATAATCATGTAGATGGTTCAGGTAGATGGGCAGATAGAAGAGCGGCACGTACCAGTAGCTGAATTCCAGTACGTCTCTGCTTCCGTGACTCGTTTGGTGAAGAACTCCAGAGCTTTGGTGACTTGGTAGGCGAGATCTGCTTTGACGATCTCTTCGAAAGCTATACCACCATCAGTCACGAAGCGGTTTGGAAGATCTTCCTATCATACCGCCTGCGTAATCGTAATTGGCCTGAGCGCCAGGGATTCTAGCGAATAGTTTCCTTGGGCCTGGTTAGCTACAGCAATATGTCCGCTACCTGGTCCTCTCTTAGCACTAACCAAAAGGACACAAGACCCCTGAAGGCAGCACTGTACGAGCCGGTGGTCTGTGCCAGTTTCATGTAGTTGAAGGTACTGTCTTCGTCTTAGCCGCTCTTCCTAATCGTATGTTCCTGCCGACTTGGCATCTGAAAAGACTTACTCGACGACATCACTCAAAAAAGACGTTTGCTGCTTTGGAGTGTAAGTGTCCCAGCTGCTGTCTGCTGCGAAATTCTGGTACTGCGTGATCTGCAAGTTGATCAGTGACCGGCATGGCAACCTCATGGTTATCCATAATGAACGTACAAAGTTCTTAATCGCATTCAGGTCGGCATCCACAACTTGGAGATTAGCCGCATTCAGATTTGGAGCCGGGTGACCTAATTCTCCGAAAGATGTGTCCTCTGGAGTTGCTCCAAAACCCACAGTTAAACCCCCAGGCCATTGTTGAAAAAAGATCTGCATATTACATGAGTTCAATGTTCGCACCAGTGACTGCTGTGGCACCACGAGTACTCACTCCATTTTTAGAAAAGATTCCTTGCACACTCGCAGCACCCTGTGAGAGTGTGCCACCGCCAGGGAGCTTTCCCTCTGCCATAAACTGTAGAGCATTGCGCAGCGTTTTCTTCTCGAACACATGTTCTGTCACAAAGTTGACGTTGGCTGGCTGTACAACATCCACAGCCAAACCAAGGGCACCGCACACAAGTGGTTTTGCCACGTGAATCCAGCCTTTGTTCGCGAGCCCCGCTACCGTTCTGTAGCCTGAATACGTTTGCGGGACAAGAACGGTTCTAGGTTGTCCAGGTAAACAGAACGTTAGTGCGTTCGGCAACGCCCTAGCTCTTTTATCCAAATCTCTGATGTCGAGTAACGAGATGTCATTGGCAATATCCGACCATTCGAGTGAGGATGAATTGGCCCATTCGAGGTCACGTGCTCTCTTGAGTGCTTGTGAGCTGGTAACACTACAGTCCTGATCAAAATAGGACGACGCGGAGAATATATGAGGTGCAGGTCCATCGGGGTCCGGGTCAGAACTTCTTCCTGGGATACGTGGAGGAGATGGACAAACGGCATCCGCCGGAGCTGGTAGCTAGGTAAGATCAGCACTACCACCTTTTCACGGATTTGCTCGCTTACCGTCGGTTCATTGGGATTGTCGCAGCAGAAGTAGGAATACGTGCCAGCCTGGCAATTCAGACCATCACTAAAGGGAGAATGGGGATCAGTCGACGCTCCGGCGAAAGGGAAATTCATTGCAAATCAGGGGACCGAGAGATACGATTTCGTGATAAACGCCTTCCCTGCTAGGTTCAACGACTCAGAAAGGTAACTCACGTCGCGATGGGTACTTGGCCTCTGGGACACTGTCCCTCGCATTTCTGGCCAATCAAAGGTGCACCGAGATTGAGTAAGGCACCCACTGGTCCTTGAAAAAAGACAGAATTTGCCCAAGCGGTCCAGGAACTTCGACCTTGATGCCATGAACAACCCTTGAAAGGAACTGTGGTGTGGTTGTCAGGAGGCAGCCTCCGCGGCACGGGAAGTACTCACTCGGATCTTTACAGCAATAAGACTTAAACCCAGCGTTGTACAAGCAGGGTTTTTCTCCTCCCGCTCCTTGTTTTCCCGTTGTAAGCTGTTTTGGATGGGCATCCTCGCACGGCGCCGACGTGAAATAAGTCGCCGCAATATTTAGAATCCCAATTGTGGTGCAGATTGGAGCGGCCCCAAACCACTCTACCACGTTGTAAGCGAGTACTCGTTCGAGATCAGACGGCACACTCACTGCATTGTCCGATATCCGATGTTGCGGTTGTATGCGAACAGCACAAAGATTTGTGCCCTGTCCAGCAAGCTTCACAGACAGTCAATAGCCGAATCTGCAGCAGCAACATAGAGCAAAGTGCCTGATGACTTACGTTTGCCAGTTCCCTGGCTGTCCGAAGTCACTTTTACCTGATCATCTCCACATTTACCACCAGATGTCGCACCACAAAACCTGAGCCATGTATCAGCATTTCTCTCACGAACACCTGGAAGAGAAACGGCTGCCCGTAGTGGCTTACGGTGCTTGACCCTTCCACTCGCATTTCGGTTCACCTAAATTCGTCAGGACAGTGCTTCTCTAGCATCTTGGAGCGGAGACTTACTGCCTGTAGGACAGCAATAATATCTACTCTCCCGCTCTTTACATCCATTGAAGATTCCGGCCAGCCCGCTGACCTTTCCTCCAGTCCCCGTTGCAGCAGTGAAGCCAGTAGGACAGTCTAGACCGCATTCACCCCAAACCTAGAACTCAATTAGCAAAGTGCGTTTCCGCAGGCGCCTCGGGCGAAATACGCATTGCCCTATTGGCGTTTTCGGCCAATTAAACAGGGAAGCTTGAGGCTGATTTACTCTGCCAGCAACACCAGAGAGCGCTGCGATGGCGGTACCCTCACCATCATCCGTCGAAGCAGCCCAAACCTGAAACATTGTGAGCCATCCTTGCCAGCATGGATTTCTCGAAAACTCACCATAACTCCTCCTAGACATTTGTTATTGGCGTATTCCACCTTTCTTCTCAAAGTGTTCTCATTATCGTATGACACCCACTGGTTCTGGTCCCTGGACACAAATATCAGGCCTGGTAATAGGTTTTGAAATCATGTTCCGAAATACCAGGTGACAATAGTGACCCCTGCATCAAGGTCCTCCTCTACGGTGGCACCAGCGCTGACGATCCTTCCAATCTCCGCATACGAGAGTGTGCCTAATCGACTTAGTGTGAATATGGCAGGTTTTGGCAATGGCCGTCTTATGTATGCATACCAGCAGACGCTGTGCAAGGTCCTGGATTCCCACCTGCGCTGAAAGGACACCCAGCTCTCTTGCAGGACGGATCAGCGAGCGTAAAACTTCGACCGTAGAAGCCAGTTCCCAAGACCACCTTCTTGGGATCAATGTCGTTACGCCAAAGCAGCTCCATGGCTGCATCAATTTCCGTGAGATTCGTATGGGCTGAAAACATTGGCATAAGGATTGGTAAATCTGTCAGAGAAAACTCACCGCCAATTACTGATCCTACATAAGGATTGGTGGAGTCCCAGGTGCCTGGTGTTTGTCAATTCAGATGCACTGTCCATGAAGATTATCCTGGAGGGTAGGCTGACCATGCAGATCATAGCTCATAACATTAAACCAGTCCAAACTATCTTCCATCTTTTTGAGATCAAAATGCTGCAGATACCAATACGATGCTGGCAGTGTGATTGTAAGGCCATATTTGCGCCCACCAGAGCCCAAGGCGTTGCGAAGATTTTTAAGGAACGAGACGAAGTTGTCAAAATCTGCTTTATTGCCTGATCGTTCTGGTGCGACAGGATATCTGTTCAAAATCGTCAGTCCTAGGCGTCGTCCTACGTCACATAGCTTGGTGACAGATTGCTCACTCCCAGTCAATGTCTACTCCGTCAAACCCGTAGTTCGACATGAAATTCACGAGAGAGCTGAAGAACTTTGCTTGTGCGCTTTCCGACGCGGCTAATTTCGAAAACGTTTCACGAGTCGGTTGATCTGGGTCATTCATCGACCAACCACCAATGGCAATCTATCGTGTCGTTATCATTAGTCAGCCAAAATACCGAAATAGGGGCTTGAGCTTGACGGACCCAGGTTTCGAGTCCTGGATTTTGTTCCTTCAACGCGGTGAACCGGGGATAGAGTTCTTTGTCGAGCTCAGCCATCGGAGCGATAGCGAAAGTGTTGGGGTCAATGAAAGCGAAAGCATAGTTGAGGTGGCTGTATTGGTTGACAAAGAGATCCTCGGGGAGCACTGGTGGATGGGTGCGTCAGACCTTTCATCTTCTTAGCGCTTGGTGTAGCTGGAAAGTACTCACTTCCGCCACAAGCTCGAGTGGATGACCAGCCTTCATAGTATCCAATCAATTTTTCGCCGGCACTGTTCCCTGAGCAGGATGGAGCTTTGACCTTCTTTTCACCACAAAAGTCTTTTGTGGTGCCTTTAGAAATCCGAGTGGTTAGTAACACGTTATGTCCCGCTCGTCGAGGAAGCGCAGGAGCCTCCATTTGTGCTCCCGGTGCATCGTATACAGGCCTTCAGCCAGAAGAGGTCGACATGACGTACCACAGAATCCGAACTTGCTGGGTGAAGACTCAGCACGCATACTGAGACCATTTTCGCATCCGACTTTACCTGCAGCAGACGTTCAACGGGCACTTCTCCCTGTCGGACCACTGTGCTCCCCAGCCTGGATCGCACTCGCTTTTGGCATCACAACTGGACTGGCAGACGTCCGCGGCGCAAAAATCTGGCCCTAATCCGCAGACCCCCGTCTTACTACAACAACCGAGCTTGCAAGGTCTCGTAGGAGAGCTTGGTGGGTAATATGTTAGCAGTGTGCTTCTGGAGAGATAAATGGATAAATAACATCACTTTGCCTCGATATGCTAAATCAAAGACCTCAAAAGGACAATACGGGTCTGTGGGTGGAATGGGTAGCATACCAGGAAAATGGATCCTGTGCAATAGTAGCAGTGGAGAGAGAGAATAAAGCACCCAAAATGTGGATTCGCTTCATGTTGGAAACGTAAGAAACATAGGTCAAGACGAAGTGAACGATGGTAGGTAACAGGATGCAAGGTCTTGGGAAAAGGACGAGACAATAAGAGAATCAGTCCACCAAATTGAACGTAGAGCACCAGACCCCATCACATCTTCAAAATAAAAGGGGGAGACAGGGGAAAGTGAAACAGGATGCAGATCCTGATGGGTTAGATTCGCAATTTGCATCCATTGTAGGCTCTTCCATGGCCTTAGTCGAGATCCTCTGACGCGGATGTAATTATGTAGCATGAATGCTTGAGTATTACAGCAAGATATGAGGCATTTGGTGGGTAGAAGCTTGCTTAGTCTCACGTCGAGTCATTCGGGTGTCGTATGTTGGATGAAAAGGGTCAGGTTATAGTAAGTTACGGCGGACTATTACGTGCTAGAGCCCAAATCAAATTTTTCGGAAATCGGAAATCGGAAATCAGAAATCAGAAATCAGAAATCAGAAATCAGAAATCAGAAATCAGAATCCAGAATCCAGAACTCCATAATAACACATTTCGTACGAGATGCTATCTGATTGCTATGTACGAGCTCACTTTGCTTCACCTTGCGGCTCCTCAGACACTGCGTAGAAGTGCAAGCTCATCGTCTGAGTGTCGTACACATCCTATACGACTAGGCAGTGCTGGTGCTGAACCCTGAATGCATACAATAAGAATAAGAAAGCTTCGTACGTACCCTATTCTATCACAATAATATAATCTGCTGCCACCCTAGGCCCCTTGATAGCCTGTGAGAGATCTTGCTGTTGTATGGCAGGCTTTATATCTTCATTATTATTAGGGTCGTCACCAGACTCCTCTGAATCTAAATTAATTACTATTAGGAACTAATAGTAAGGAGTAGCCTTAGGCTACTTATAATTGTTATAGCAGCCGCTAAAGTATCCTAGTATACAATAACACTTCAGAAACACGCTAAGTCCTTTTTAACACCTTATATAAAGAGGATTCTATATAAAGTTACAAAATTATATAAGAAGACTATTATATATAATAGCTAATATATAAATACTTACTTAAGCCTAATATATTTTACATAAAATATAATAAGACTCTTAAGCAAAACTAATATATTATAACTTTATAAACTATATATAAAAAGAGCTAATTAAAATATAGTATTAATTATAAAGAAACCTTTGCTCTAACAATGTATATAGATTTCTTAAGGGTATTACTAGTAATTATAATAGTAAAGAACCTAGAATGCTACTAAATAAATATTAATAATATATTTACAGAATCTACTAATACAGAAATAATATATATATTACTCCCTAATAGAGTTAATATACTAAATAAAATAGCTTTATATGTGTTAAAAAGCTTATATAGTTTGAAATAAGCTACTAGAGATTAGTATAATTATATAATAATTAGTCTGTTAAAACCTGGCTTTAAATCATCTCCTTCTGACCTATATATCTTTATAAATAATAAAGGAGTAATTATTAGCACTTAGGTAGATAACTTAGTAATTGTTTCTTAATAACTCTTTAATATAATCGAATTTAAGAAGGACTTCGCTTACATCTTCAAGATTAAGGATCTAAAGGAGATTAAAAGGATAATCTTACTCTGTATATAAGTTGTGACTATTAATAGTATTAATAGCTATTCCTAATCTGTATACTTATCTAACAGGTTATAAGCCTAATGTAAAATAGCTATAAACATTAATAGTAAGTAAAAGCCTAATTAAGATTACTAAGTAAGCTACTACTCTTATAATGAGGTACAGTTATATTATACTTAATTATGGAACATAAGCAAGTTAAATACTCTAGGGCTACAGAATTATAAGTCTATAAATTTAAGAGTAGAGATATTAATTATATTATAGTTTATTCTAAGACTCAGAAATTAGTTTATTATAACTTATAAGTTAATTAATCTTATTAGAATTAACTAAATATAATAGTAATTAACTAATATATTTCTTCTTTACTTAAAAGTCTATAATAATTAAAGTATATATTCTTTTTATTTTAGTTAATTTAATTTTATACTAATTATTATTTTATTTTATTATTAAAATAAATAATATTATAGCAAAGAAATAACTAATGCTAATCCTTATATATATTAATTATAAATAATAGTTTAAACTCCTTACCTTTTACTTTTAAGCAGAAGAAATCTAACTAATATTAATATATGCTAAAGTACTTATTAAGAAGGCAAAGAAGCTAGATATAAAGGTATAATACATTATCTATATCTGTATTAGAAACAGAGATTAAGAACTTATAGAAGGATGTATATTAGCAAAGAAAGCGTGAGACACACTAAGAAAGAAATATATAAAGATAAGACTATTAATAAACAAATACTATTTATAGTAGTATATTAACTATTATAAGAAGCCTAAGGAGAGCATAAAAGATGCGTGAATAGAGATTTAGCGCTTAGGAAGACGTATAAAAGTGACTGATGACTTACTTAAAACATTTACTACATAATACTAGATGTTTTAATAGCTTCTTGCTTTTCTTCCTCTAGAGTATAATATTGTACAAGATGCTATTAATAGTTAAGAAGAGCATCTCCTTAATATTGAACCTCTTATGTAATGACTCCTTAAGAAAGAATCCTTATTAAGTAATACTTCTGTTATCTTTAGGCAATATTATTATTTATTAATAAAATTCCAGTTATCCTCTAGCCAACAATTATCCTAACGATCTATAATGCGCAAACACCACCTTTAATCTTAAGAAAACACAACCTCACCTCAAGAACGCCTGCCACAACAGCTGAAATGTTTTGCCTGTCAAGGGAATTATAAATGGCGGAACTGCCCTCACATTAAGGAGCATATAGAAGAGATCAGAGAGATCGTTAACAAGGCTTAAGCAAGTTAACGCAAGAGGAGTAAGCTAAAGGTGAGAGTAATTGAGGAAGAGAGCACAAGCGCAGAAGACTTCTTCTCTAATTCTGAAGGCGAAGCAGAAGTCTATTTTGCAGCACTAGAGACGCTAACCCGTAAGACCCCTAAGTAGATTACTGACACTAGTACATTTAACTATATAACTAACTAGCTTTCTCTCTTTAAAGGACTCTTAAAAAAAATTAAAGAGATGGCAGTAAATTTAGCGAATTTAAGGTTACATGTTTAAGGGGCAGAATATGCCTAGATATATACAAAAAGGGAAGTAATAACCTTGTTAAATGTGTTATACGTACCTAGTCTAAGTGTTAGCCTTCTTTTTAGCTCTTTATTATATAAATCAGGGCTTCTAAGCAGTTTTGATAAGAAGGCCTTATATATATAAGATTAGAATAATAATATAATTCTTAAAGCTATTAGATATAGAGGTCTTTATATTATTAATTAAATAAGTCCTGAAGTAATAAAGTCTACTTATCCTGCATAATCTACTCTAGTAAATTTAATTATATATAGTATAGCCAAATCTAATATACTACTAAAGCTCTTTACCTTAAAAAAGATACTACTGTAAACTATAGTTTGTAATGCCCCTTCTGAGCTACTTACTAATTATAGTTAACTAATAGTCTTTAAGGAAGCTATAACTAATATTATAAAGAAATAATATTAATTATAGTACAGAAGGTTTACTTATATAAGGGAAAAGAAACTGCAGAATCTATATAAGATTATAATATTATAGAAAGCAATTTATAAGCTAAGTAAGATAGACATTTATAAAGTATGTAATTTAATTAAGATAAGAAACTAAATAAATACTTAAGTCTTTTAGTATAAGGCTAATCTTCTTGACTTTATATTAATTAATATTTGTGGCCTCTTTTTAATAGTACTTAGTAGCGCCTAATACTTCTTTTAAAGGTTATTAATAACTATTCTAAGAAGTTATAAGTAATCCTAATTAAGAATTAAAAGAGAGCAAAGAATCACCTTAAGAAGTAGCGTTAGAGTAAAGAACTTATTATAGGGATAAAGCTAAAGGCAATCCGAAGTAATAATGCTAGAGAACTTAAATAGACCCTTAATAAATAAAGCTAACAGATAGGAATTAGTACGTAATATACTATCTTATATACCTTAAGTTAAAATAATATAGCTAAACGCACAATTCAGATAATAGAAAATAACATCTAAGTAATGTTAAAGGAATCTGAGTTACTACTTGAACTATAAGATAAAGTAGTAAAGACTAAGGCGCATATATCTGTAACTAGACTATAATTAGCCTAGAGATAAATAGACAAAGAATCACCTCTAAGGAAGCCTAGACTAGGACAAAACTCTTAATTAATCACATCTAGATCTAGGGATGTAAGTATTATTTATATATGAATCTAAAGTTGCTACTAGTATTAGGGAGATAAGACAAGCTAATAGACCAGGGCTAAGTAGAAGTATTTGTAAAATATAAAAAAAACATAATAAAATAATTTCGTATTTACATACTAGATCTCAGATATATAACTTGTTCCTTAGTTATAATATTTAATAAACTCTAGAAGGGTAAAACTATTAACCTTTATATAAGAGGGACCCTTAATTCTTTATTAGATTATATACTAAGAGGACAACCTTAAAAGGAGTCTATTACTAATT